GCATGCCGATCCGTCTAGCTCGAAATAACACCGTGTGTGGTCTCTTTAGGACTGCTTATATTCAAAGTATTCTTAATATCAAATGGTTATACATTTAAAAGTTACAATAATTGAGCGGGGGTCATATATGACACTTAGCGGTCACTTAATGTGTTTCCTGTGAGGCAGAAACTAGAGTTTCCCATATTGTGTACATAACGTTCAATCGTTCAAAGTTTCATACATATTTTAAGTTAGCTACGTCAAACCTTTCTCACACGACAAAATTTATTCTAGATACGTTACTGATTACTAGGGATCGGACTTTAATGCAAATGCACATTTCTTTCTTGCAACCAGAAAGTATGCTCATTTGGATATAAGTGTGGATTACTTCATTTCTTAAATTTTGGACATGGTTTGATGATGCATATAAAATGCATATTTTGCCTTTTTATGAATAAGCATCATATGTTCAAATATCTATATTTATACTGCATATTTTTTTTTAATTTTTTGTCACATATTTTTTAAATTTATGTTCAAATTTTCACTCATGGTCGTGTATATACAATTTTTCTTTTCCTCGTTAGAATATGTTGCATATTTGACTCAGCATTTCGTTATGATTCATGTTTCTGATGCAATACCCAGGACGGGACTTCCCTGATCCCTCTACTCGTAACTTGCCTCATCCGCGTACCATCAAAGTGGCCGCGAAGAGATTAGTCGGAAGCGTTCACATGTAGCCGCTATCAACGTAATACTATTCAACCGATAAGGGACTTCACTTATTTATTTCCGAAGTCTCCATGATTTGAAAGTAAGTCAGAAAACTAAAATACAGCTGTATCAGCGGGAGTTCGAAGGAGAGATGATAAGTACGGATAACGAAATTCTTTATTGTCGAATGTGTGAGAAAACGGTTGTGAAAAACGCTTTGAAGTGCTTCAGCATTTTAACACTAATATACACAAAGAGAATACTAAAACTAAATCCACGAAAAGTGCTCTTGTTCAAAAATTGCTTAGTGAATTTTCTAATAATAGTTTTTCACAGTTTTCCTCTGATTTATGCGACGCATTTTTAGCGGCAGATATTCCGCTGTGGAAACTAACCAATCCTGCTCTGAGAAACTTCATAGAGAAGTATACACAGTGCAAAGGCCACGCCATAGCTCAAGCGGTTAGTCGCTGGCTTCCCACCGCGGCGGCCCGGTTCGATCCCGGGGTCTGGTCAAGTGGGATTTGTGATTAACAACGTGGCGCTGGAGCAGATTTTCTCCGAGTTCTTCGGTTTCCCCTGCCAATCATCATTCCAGCAATTGCTCCACAATCAACTTCACTTATCATCTGGGACTGTACAATAGGACAGAAGTGGCCGCAGTACAAGGGACTTAGTCCCACCCCAAAAGCAAAAAAAAAAAAATACACCGTGCAAAGTGCCGGATGAATCAACTGTGAGCAAAAATTACGTAAAGCAGTGTTTCGATCTTACAATTGAAAGCATTAGAGATAAGTAAAATGTAAAGCTATCCCCGTACCAGGCCGTGAAGGCCCGTAGGGTTGTCAGACGTTGAGGGTCCCACATCAATCGAAGGAACACAAGATTATGAGGGACGGTTTATTGTAAATTGTAAAGTTGGATCCCTTAATAAGAATGAACAACCTACCCCATATCTTCTTGCGGTAGAGCAATTTGAAACCACAAATAGCTCCGCAGTTTCCTAATTTTTATCAATTCCATGAATTTACTATGGCCGAATGGCATTCAGTATGAGCACCTATTGTTCTTTGTGACTGATGCTGCAAGTTATATGATGAAAGCCTGTACTGCTCTTAAAGTTATATTTCCAAATATGACTCATTTGACTTGCCTTGTCCATGGGTTGCACCGTGTTGCAGAAACAATTCGTGCAAATTTTCCGCTTGTTGACAAGTTGGTGTCTTCTGTGAAGAAGGTATCTCTTTAAGCGCCATACAGAGAGGAAGCCTTTAAAGCAGTAGCACCGAGCGTTCCACTTCCGCCATAACCAATTTTAACACGCTGGGGCACTTGGCTGTGTGCAGCGAGTTATTATACCGAACATTTAGAAACAGCTAGGAATGTCGTGAATTCATTTGATTCCAAAAGTGCAGCATCAATTCAAATTGCCCAAGATGTACTAAAAAACGCAGAACTAGAGACTAATATTTCCCATATATCTGCTCACTTCTCTTATCTTCAATCCGCCATTTCCTCACTGGAGGCCAAACAATAGCAATACTACTTTGTATCAGTCGTTAAGTGTGTTCAAAACCACTGTTTCCAAATTGCGTTTGGTTGCTGGAAGAGTTGGTGAAGTAGTAAAGGAAAAAAGTACACAGCATTCTTAAAAGAAAAATCCAAGATATGAACAAATTTATGAAATTGAAGAAATTTTAGCCGGCAAACGTACTGAACTGCCAAGTAAAATATCCCTAACAGTGGAGAAAATAGCGGCTTTTGTACATGCACCCCTAAGTTCCTGTGAGGTGGAAAGAAGTTTTTCCCGCTATAAGGACATCTTTGAGACAATAGGAGGCGACCAACTATGGAAAACCTAAAACATTTAGTAATTGTGAACTGCAACAAAAGAGAAGTTGAAAGTTTGGAGAGCTAAATGTGAGTACCATTGGTTCTTTAAATTTGTAATGAAATATGTTGCTTTGTTGCATGATATGTATTTAAGTATAGCTTTTTATTGCAAGTGAATCATTCAGTGATTACATAAAATGAACTTAAATATTGATTTGTTGGTCTTAAAACAATGTAAAATCAATTTTAATATTTGGTATAAATTTTTATGTTCTTATTTCAGAAGTTTTTCATGCATAAATGCATACATATTTAAGGGATTATTGGGGCATAAAAATCCGGTCCCTACTGATTACAATGACGGGGTGATTTCGGATTCGGTGCTGTAGAACAAGGGTCGCCAAACTACGGCCCGCGATGTGATTTTATCCGGCCCGCGAAAGAATTCTGCAGAAATGAGCCAATTGAACTAATTTTCCAATGAGTACTGGTAAAAAAATACCACATATACACGGTGCCAAATCCCAGAAGACTGCTTCCTTCATAGTCACCGCCGTGAAAGCCTCAAATCTTACAAATAAATATTTGTTCATAGATTTCAAATTCATTATTTAAGATTATGTTTAAAATATATTGATATTCCATATTATGTTAATAATAATATTATTCACAACCACTTTTATAAGATACCGAGTGGCTTTGGAAATTAGCATTTTTGCTGATTTGGTGAACCATATGAACAATTTGGATTTAAAGTTGCAGGATGAAAATAACTTATGAAGAAAGCAGTCTTCTGGGATTTGGCACCGTGTATATGTGGTGTTAACCGACGTTTCGGAGGAACGTATCGCCTCCATCTTCAGGGTAGAAGAAAAAATATAAGAAATCTGCAAGCGAAGAGACCGTGAGAACCGGT